ATCGCTTTAAATACTAACTCTTCGTTATTAACAACACAATTACTAATACTAGCTTATGACTATATAATCTATCCATCTATCATCAACGTCTCAACGTTGTTGACACTCTACTATTTGGCAGTTTTGTGTTACTAATTAATTTTGCTGATGCTTTGCCTTTTTTTTTTAACAGAGGTACCCGCGTAAGCGGGTACCTCTGTTAAAAAAAAAATATATAAAGCATCATTTTAATTAGTGATATGAAAAAAAAATTTTTTTTTAAAAAAGAAAGAGGAAAGGGTGAAAGAGAGGAACGGAAGGAAAGGGAAAGTGTATAGGACAGAGGGAAAGGGAGTGGGAGAGTGAGTGTATAAGTGAGGGTGGTGAGAGAGGTGTGGGGAGAGAAGAGGGGGAGAAGAGCGAAGGAGTGAAAGAAAGAAGTTTGAAGAGTAAAGAGAGTAAGAAGTGAGCAAATAAGAGGCAATTGAAACTCCGATAAAGTCACGTGACTTTGGATTTCGCATTTCTGCGAAATTGAAGAAGTTTCAAACTCACCAAAATGGAGTTTGAAACTCTGACAAAGCGATGAAGTCACGTGACTTACGGGAATTCGAATTTTCACAAAATTGACAAAATTCAAACTCCACCTAATTGGAGTTTGAAATGTTGAAAATAAAATAAAATAAAATAAAAATAAACAAAATAAAAGGAAAACTGAAAATAATTACAAAGGCCCAGAGTCAATAATATCACCCAAGTAGAAGCTAACTCTGTAGCAGAAGATAAAGACCATCAAGAAAGTCTGAGGCAGTAGAAAATTGTCCAAAAAAGCGTCAAAAAAGGCAGGCAAAGTGTTAAGAGAAGAAGTTATAACGTTAAATAGAGGGAAAAGACATAGAAGCTTAGAAAACTCCTTTTTAGATAATGAAATTGTATCAACAAGTCACCTAAGCAAGAAACGGAAAGTGAATGAAGAGGGAGTCGAATTATTAAAAGTCAGAAAGACGAAGAATACTCTGGTTATGTTTGGGGAAAGGATAGCTAAAGTTTATAATTTAGCAATGAAAACAATAAGGTTACAAGTCTCGAGTTCATTTCTAGTGAGATGGTGGTCAAAGTAAAGTTTGAAAATAATATAAAAAATAAAGTAGCTGAGTATCATGCTATAGCAGGGATGGTAAATGACCTGAAATGACCTAGTGACTCAAATGAATAATGACTAGTTACTGGTCATTTAAAAAGATGAAATAACCTGGTAGGTTATTTAAAATTTTATAGTATAGGTCGCAGTTTCTTAACTGGTTATTTGAACAAAGTTAACACGTGTGTATTAATCGTGTTAATTTAAAATTATATACATATTAAGATAGTTAAAACCTAACAATTCAGGTTTTACTTACTAGATCAGGTTTACCAACAATTTTACATTACCGTTACTGCTTTTTTATTATAGACCCTAAACAAACATTATTCAAATCAATTTATACACGTCGCCTATTTACTGTATTTATTCAATCATACAAATTATTTACCTAATATCATTCGTTCTTAATTTATATTTATTATTTATTTATGTGATAATAAAGTTTTTACATTATTTCAAGATCAAAAATAATTGTATAGTATCATTTTTCAATGAAAATATAAGACTATTATTAGAATGTACTCGGCAAACTTTTGATTTATTCTATGCAATTTAAATTGTACCCATCACGAATTTCTCAGTATTCTTAACTTTTATGACAAAATTAGTGTTTGCCTGCTTATTGCATAAATTCCAAAATGTAGTAGCAGTAAAATCATTTCTAATGCCACGAAGAGGTAATATGAATTATTTAAATTTTTTTAAAGCACAAAGGAAACAGGAGCTTCCAACGAACTATTGAATAATCCTAATAAACTCCATTTTGCCGATGGATTATCTGCAGGATGAGTTATATGTCTACCCAATTCAAATTCGAATTGTTCATTATTTGTACTTTCATCATCTAATTCCTCATAATTTAATATGTTAACCTAGCCTTCAACCATGTGAGACCAATTCTCTTCATTAAAAGTATCAGAATCATCGATCATATCCTTATTTATTTTGAAAGGTTCGTTTGAATGAGTTTGTGGATTGGTTTGTGAATTGATTTGTGAATTGATTTGTGAATTGTTAGGAATCGATGTAATGCTATCCTTACTGTCACTTCTAGTATGTAAGGAATATTCTGCTAACTCTTCTTGTACCCTATTCTCTTCATCACTATTATAACTTTCACTTTCATTGTAGGGCTGAATAGGAGTTGCAATACGAATTCATTTATATTGTTTTTCAGCTTTCTCAGCTTCATTATGTTTTCTTTTACTTAATATATCACTGCGTAATTGACTCATGGCTAGTACTTTGTTATTCTTAGATCAATAATTAAAATTAGTAATATGTATAAAAATAATAATAAATTAAATTAAGTAATACATATAAAAATGATAATAAATTAAATTAAATCATATACTGGCAAATGATTTTGGCATTTCGTATGTAAATAACTCATGATTAACCATAATCGCTCAACCGAAGCAGAATTAATGCAAATGCCAAATAAATATAAGACTAATCGAGATAATTCGGGTGTCAAACCCTTCGCTAAATCCCAAAAATCGACAATATTTCCATCAAACTAATTATATGATTCATGATTAAAGGGAAACACTTCTCTTTGATATAACAAAAATTTACGCAAAATACATGTTGGAGCTTCACTGAACCATGTGTTGTAATAAAAGTTTAACCATCGACTGAAGTGTGAATAAGAAAGATTAGAAATATTAGAGGAAAATTTTGAGAGCTGGTATTTTGGGTATAAAACAATTGATAGAAAAAGCAAGGGTTGCTCCTATTGTGCCTATCGCTTTTCTAATCAAGCTACCATGTGTTCAGAAAAATCTTTATCTTTACAATCCGCAAAAACCTTAATAAGCCACCCAAAGCAATGTGCAACTTCGAAAAGTCTTGCACTATTTTTTTGTAATCTATTTAATATTCCACATAATGGAAATAATAGATCCTGAAGTTCATAAAGAATAGCCCAAAAATTAGAGTCTTGTAATATTGATATAATATCAGGTGAAAGTGTTTTAGCTTCATCCAATGAAAATCGTTGCCATGTCCGACCACTTCGGGAAGTACTTGCCGTTCCAATTCTTGTAGGGGCAAATTTTGTAGCTAACATCTAATGTAAGTGGAAATCGCAGAGGTTTCAAAATTAAAAATTTATATCTCTTATATTTCAATTAAAATTATATTCTCATATTTAATTCTAAAACTCTTACTACGTTTTATTTAAAAAAAAACTTACTTTAAGTGTAGATTCAGTTTTTAAAATAGAATAAAAACTAAAATAAAAACTGTTCCAGCACGTTTCAGCAGGTGTAATGAGAGAAATAACTTGACTATAACAAGACATTTGTTCATTTCTTAATAATCCAGTAAAATATGGAGAAGAGTGAAAATAACTTATAACATGTATTGCATTTTTGGATACTTTTTTGTATGTATCAGATGCCTTGAAAATATCTCCAAAAACCAAATTTACTTGATGCACCATACATGGGATGAAAACTTTGTTAGGGAATTCAACTCTTAGTTGTCGCCTATAAGTAAAAAAAAATTTATACAAATAGGATGTCTATAATAAATATGAATGTTTATTAACATGTAAATTTTAATTATTACCTTGCAGCTGCATAACCACCAGCAGAATCTGATACATAACAGTTAATTTTTATATTTTGTTTTTTTGCATTATCTATTATGTCTTTAATAAGATGTTTTACATCTTCATTTCTTGATCGTTGGTCACTAATATTATGTGCATTCCAAACCAAAGCTTCATCTTGGGAAGTAATCAAAACGATGCCAAAAAGATGCTCTTGCTTAATGTTGGTCCATCTGTCAAATGCTGCTGTTACTTCGATTTTATCTGAACGTGTACATTGTAAAATATCTTCAACTAACTTTTCTGAATATCTTGGAAGAATTTGATTACTTACTACATGTTGATTGGGTAACTTTAAAGCTGGTGCAATAAAGTTAAAAACCTCTTGTGTTTCATTATTTTCCATAAAAGTAAAAGATAGACCGTTTGATACGATCATACGTAACACCAAATTTTCAAAATGTGGTTTATCTTTTTCAGATAGTGGACGTGAAACATAGATAGTAAATGTTGTTTGCCTTTTAGACAAATCAGTTTTTAAAGTTTCAGAAGTTGTAAGAATTGTGCTAGAAATTTCATCCTCAGATGCAATATCGGCATTGGTCTTGGCTACTAATAGTTTATTAAACATGTTACTAATATATTAAATAGGCAAACCATCAAAATATATTATATAATTAATTACCTTTATTACTGTTGCCTTTTTTTTTTTAGTATCTTCGGGTACTAATCTCTCAAGAATTTCCAAAACATCATCCGTATTATATTCTTCCTTAAAATTTAAACAATCTCTAAGATGGCTTCGACATAACTTTGCCTTATTAGATACGAAGCACTGGGGGTTTGTAAGTGCAACAGATAAAGTATGCTTCTATATACATGAAAGGCAAACTGCCTTTTGTTTGCTTTTAGATTATCAGGTTCAGCTAGATAAAAAAAGTTTCGAAAATTATGTTCTTTTCTACCCATTTGATGTTATTAGAAAAAAAGTGTAGTGTTAAATTGAAAGAAAGATGAAATTTAAGATATCCAGCGTGAGATGACATGTTCAATTTCTATATATGCCAAATCTACATACCCAATTATGTCAATAAGTCCTTTTAATTTTAGTAAAATGCACTCATCCCTTTTTCCTTTGTGTAGTTACTACTATATCGTTAAAGCATTTTATTAATCTAAATGTTATAGTTGGCTTAATGTCATCCATTATTATTATTGTTTTACGTTTTTTCTTATGTATATATTTATTTATTTTTTTCTTTTTTTTTACTTTATTATTTATGATTGTTATATCAATAAGGAAAAGTTCAATAATTTTTGTAATATTATGCATTATTACAAGATTCACATCATGTATTGTGTGTTTAAACCCACTTGAAGCCTTGCTTGTGCTTGTCAACCTTGTAACCACAAAATCGGTAAGGATTCTATTTCTAATTTTGCACAATTTCTTTACATTTTTACTAATATTTTTTAATCTCCAAATATTCGCAATCTATTTTGGTTACGTGGCAACAAGAGTATGTATTTTTTTAATTGCTTTTGTTAGAGAGAAAATAGATCTAATATTTATTACGAATTTTCTGAATTTTCTCCTTTTATATAACTAGTTTAACAATACTGATATGAGATCATGCATTTAAAATAAGCTCTGCATGCATTAATCCCATTGATTTAACTGATATGTACAATATTTAACCAATTATGTTGTACTACCGATTATAGTATATTGTTATACAAACTTTAAATGACCCACAAATTCCAAATGACTTAGGTCATTTACAAATGACCCAGGTCATTTGGTCACAGGTTATTTGCAAATGATCCGAAATTTAAATGACCATAATAACTGGTCATTTTGAGGTCATTTCAGGTCACTTGAAAAATAGGCAAATGACCAGGTCATTTACCATCCCTGTACTATAGCAGGTTTTGAAATGCGGGTATTACTACATGTGGAATCTGTTGGCAAACATCAGTGTAATAACCATTTTTAGGCACTTTTATAGTAGCCGGGTTTTGCCTAATATGTATTTAGATAGATTAATTTTTTGTTAAAAAATTATAATATTCTAATAAATTAGTGCGAGGTTATCAAAGCAAAAAAATAATA